GAGTCTTGTATTAAATTCTCAAATCTTAGAATTAAAAAGAAAAACTTTTATGAATTTCGATCTAAGATAATTTGAAAATTGGCGTAATTTTAGATTCTGAACGAAGTGATGAATGTATTTACGTATTAAATTAATATTTGAACTTCAATGCTAATTAAACAAAATTGTGCCTATGTTTTCTTATAATTTTTTAATCACAATAAGAATAACTTATGAGGAACTTTGTATTAAATTTTCAAGTATTTTGATATGGTCAAAAAAATTTTATCGACACTTCAAAAAAAAATTTTCCGACAAATTGAAAATTTCAGTCTTCTATAAATATCTCAAAAAAAGTCAAAATATTTTGAAAATTAAATCATGTAAAGAAAATGCCAATCTAAATAACTGATAAAATTTTCAAGTATCTACGACATATTATACTTTTTGAATAATAACAAATATTTAAAAACGTTTCAGGATAAATCGTTATCGTTACCATTGATTATAGAATAGACTATTCTATTCTATAATCAATGTCGTTACGCTATTTTGTAAAAATTTAAAATTCAAACGCACTTAAAATTGTTCCTATAATGATGCTTCGAGTTCTCTCTATAGCTACTCGAAGGAAAACTTATGGAAATCTTAGTGTTGTATCCTTAATTATAAACTAAAAAATTTTTATGATTTTTCAACTCAAAATTACTTGCAAATTTTCACGTTTTCGACAGATTTCGTAAAATTTTGAACTATAAACGCTTATTAAAAAAAATTGTGACTTACGATTTTTAATTTTTTTAGCTACAATAAGAACAACTCATAAGGAACCTTGTATTAAATTTTCAAGTTTTTTTGGTCCTTCAAACATTTTTTACCGGCACTTCAAAAAAAAATTCTCAAAAAAATTGAAACATTTTGAAAATTAAACTGTATATAGATATCACTAACATAAACATTTGGTGAAAATTGCAAGTATTTGCAGTGATTAGTTTTTGAATAACAACCATAAAAAAAAATGTCTGTCTTTTTTTTTGTTTTTCTCGATTTTTTTGAAAACTGTTGGAAAATGTTTGCTTTTGACCTGTATAATACACCAAGGATCTTCAAATTTACATCGGAAACCACCCCCAAAGTTTGAAATCGAAGCATTATTTCGACTAGTTATGCTGTACACAGACACAAAAAAAAAACACACACACACATCATTGTAAAATCAATACATTCATCACTTCGTTCAGAATCTAAAAGAAAAATTTTACATAATATATTTTACATTCCCCTTTCTATGTCTAACATAATGTCTCCTCATAAAATTATTACCTTATAATTATCTTAGGCTAATTACCTGTGATGTTGTCATGTTGAAGCCTTTAACCCAATAAAAAAATAAATAAATAAATAAAAGCTGTAAAATAATAGTTTTAAAATTGAACTTGTTATTACTTGATATATAATTCAAAATGTCTGTTATGTTAACATCTCACAATAAACTAAAAAAAAAAAAACATTTTTCTTCAAATGTGATAAGTAATTATTTACCCCTCGGGATTTGCCATAGATATTATAATATAATAAATCCATAGATTCATATACTCAGTAATGACTAATGATATATGTTTCTTTTAGTTACTTGGTATTTAGTAAATAATAATATCTGGGGAGTAGTAATGTTCACACAGATCCTCCCCTGCTGTCGGTTCAAACAGGAAAAAAAAATAATAATAATAATATCTGTAGCCAGATTATCCATGATCCACTACAGTAATATGATATGTACAGGAGGGTGCGCAAAATATTTTATCCTGAAAATATATTTATAAGAAAAATATTTTGATATAATATATTTTATCAATCGTGTTTAAACGAAAAGACAACGTGTGTTTATCTAATTAAAATTAATTATTTTTTTAAAATACTATATTTGATACTACATAATAAAAACCAATGTATTAATAATATATAATAACATGTCGTAGATACTTGAAAATTTTACCAGTTATTTAGATTGTCATTTTCTTTACATGATTTAATTTTCAAAATATTTTTACTTTTTTTGAGGTATTAAAAGACAACTGAAATTTTCAATTTTTCTGAAAATTTTTTTTGAAGT